CCATAAGCTCAAATAAACTCTTCCTTTTATAAGTTCCCTTGGTCACAATGTTTTATCACAGCAATAGAAAAGTAACTAAGACACATGGGAAGAGGGAACCTTGATTGAGGAATATCCTTCATCAGATTGGTCTGTGGGCTTGTCTGTGGAAGATTTTTTTGAATGTTGAGTGATATGAGAGAGCCAAGCCCACTGTGGGTGGTGCCATCCCTAACTAGATGGGCCTGAGCTATGTAAGAAAAGTAGCTCAGCACAGGCCAAGAAATAAGCCAGTAAGCAGCATTCCTCCATGGTCTGTGTTTCATTTCCTGCTGCAAATTCCCGCCCTCTCCTCCTTCACTGATGAACTGTGATCAGGACAGGTAAACCAAATGATATCTTTCCTCCCCACGTTGGTTTTGGACAGTGTTTCACAAGAAATAAGCCAGTAAGCAGCATTCCTCCACGGTCTGTGTTTCATTTCCTGCTGCAAATTCCCGCCCTCTCCTCCTTCACTGATGAACTGTGATCAGGACAGGTAAACCAAATGAAATCTTTCCTCCCCACGTTGGTTTTGGACAGTGTTTCATTACAGTATTAGAAGGTTTATAAAGCAGGCACTGGTATTGAGACTGGGGTATAGCCAGAAAGGACTTGAAAACGTTGTTTTGATGGTGGGAGATTGTGAAAGCCTTTGGAACGTTTGGCTGGAAAAAACCCCTGGGTGCTTGGAGCTTTGAGTGTAGACTGGAAACTGAGAATGAGGTATAGCCAGAAAGGACTTGACAACGTTATTTTGATGGTGGGAGACTGTGAAAGCCTTTGGAACATTTGGCTGGAAAAAACCCCTGGGTGCTTGGAGCTTTGAGTGTAGACTGGAAACCAGTGTGTGCCAACTTAGGCGACCCAGGCTACCTGGAAATTATCTGTGAGTGACTTCTACTCCTTCATGGTTGCAATTGCTGAAGACACAAGGCTAGAGCCAGGCCACTCAGTCCCTCGGGTTCATGACAAGGACTCACCAACATGGATACCTAGGCTGGGCATGGAATGTTCTCCTAGCCCAAATACATCCAGCCAGGCTCAGCCTGGAGTGAAAAATGGGATAGAAGGACTTCACCTCTCTGGAGAGTCTCAGGGTTACCACCTATGATAGAAAAACAGAAGGAATTTCTGGCTCAGGCTCAGTAAACATATGAAATGTGGTGACTCTCACCATGTGTACTGTACTGGTGAAGGAACTCAGGGCCTTGTGCATGCTGAGCAAGTGCTCTTCCATGAAATCCATACCCATAGCCCTGGATGGGACATATTTAATACAGGTTATAGCAAAGTTCAGAGAAAAACTATGGCCTCTACAAAGTAAGAGCTTCACTTTTTTGGATGATGTCTCCCATGGATTTATTGTTTGCTCCAGATGGCCTGGACATCGTCTCCTATCTCTCCAAATTCATATTTCCATCCAGGAACAAACCTCAACCTCTCCTAGTTTTTGACCTACTGAGGGGAAGCACAGCCATCCTCACAAGAGTTCTTTGTCCCCAGCATCATTAGTAATGATAGCAGATCCTCAACTTGAGAGTATGCTTTGTCCCTGGCCCCCTTTTGTTTCCTGGTTGCCATGATGGGACTAGCATCCTCCACTGTGATCTCATGATGTTCTCACTAGACAGGCAAAAAACAAAACAAAACAAAACAATGCCCCTCCCCTGCCAAAAAAACCCAGAGACAAAGATTGGAACCTCTGAAACATGATACAAAATAAAAAGCCTTTCATCCTTTGATTTCTCTCTAGTATTTTGTTAGTGATGGGAAACTGACCAATAGAGAATGAGTGATGTCTCCTCATGGGTTGGGCCTTGTAGTAGATTCTGAACAGGACTTTGGAGGATTGCTGCATCCTATTCAGTGCAGCCATAGTAACTATGGGATGTCAGCTAGTTCCAGTAGTTTGAAGGGATGGTAACTTTGAACACATGATTTAGATGGTGTCGGCCAGATTCCTCTACTGTGAAGTTACATTTCTAAAGGCCATGTTCGTAAATGATATGCACATAAATAATAGCACTGGGGAACACGATCTACCAAAAACTTCCTCATTGACAGAAAATGTGTTTGTCTCTTCCTACTTAGTCCTTCCCCAGGCTTTAGCCTTGCCTTAAAGACTAGGGGAAAGTTGAGCAGGAAACCTCTTGGATTTGATACCCTTCCCTTTTCCAAGTACGACGGTGCCATTGCTCATTTTCCCTAGGTTTAGTTGTGCTTGTTAGCAGGGTTTTTCTACTTCAATGTTCTTTCCAATCTGACCAAGTAGGCTTGGTTGGTGTCCTAGTCTGCTTTCTATTGCTGTAATAAGCACCCTGACCAAAACCAACTTGGGGAGGAGAGAGTTTGTTTCTGTTTATAGTACAGTCCTTCATCAAGAGAAGCCAGGGCAGGAACCTGGAGCACAGACCATGGAAGAACACTGCTTACTTGTCTGCTTTCCTGGCCTGTACTCAGCCTGCTTTCTTACACAACACAGGTACACCTACCCAGGTATGGCACTACCCACAGTGGGCCCTCTCAGATCACTCAACAATCAAGAAAATGCCCCACAGACATGGTCCCGGTTCCTCAACTGAGGGTCCCTCTACAGAGGTGTGTCAAGTCAACAACGGAAGGCATCAGGACAGTTGGCTGCTAGATTATCTTTAAAATCTTAGAGATTCGCTTTTTTTTTTTTTTTCCTTTAACAGAAAAAGCAAAAGGACATTCTTGGTTCAGAGTCTTTGGCAGGAAACAGAACACTGATTCAATAGCTTTTTAAAAGTTATGTAATTTTTGCTGGGCATGGTGGGTCAGGCCTTTAATCCCAGCACTGGGGTAGGCAGATGTGGGTGAATCTCTGTGAGCTCAAGGCCAGCTTGGTCTACATAAAGCAAGTTCCAGGTTAGTCAGGGCTACATAGTGAGACCCTGTCTCAACAAAGTAAAAAACAAACAAAACAAAGCAAACAAAAAACCAAACCCATAATTTTTATTTGCTTTTCATTGAAAACCATATGAGAATGTCACCTTATTAACAAGAGCTTTTTCTTACAGTTTAAAACGAGCTAAAATAAGTCAGTCCCTTTAGGGAAATATTTAAGAACTTAAAGGAAACTCGTTCCTGTAGAAGCAGATGGAGGAGCGTTGCCCCTGGAGACTCCATAGCCCTGGGTCGCTGAGCACACAACAAACGTCCCTACAAAGGCACGGAAGCATCTGCGCATGCGCCAGGGCCACCGGCTCCTGTTTGGCTGTTTCCATGGCTACGAAGCCCCTTCGCTTGGGAGAGTAAGGAAAATGAAGCTCAAGAGCTTTTTGCTGAGGTATTACCCACCAGGTACGGGACCCCCACAGTGGGCCTTGGACTCCCAGACGGGAAGGTCTGGGGTGGAGGGGGCGGGGCTTGGGGAGGGGTGCTGGGGTCCTGCCCCAGCGACCGAAGGGACAGGAAGTCGGAGGCTTTCCAGCCTGTGCCTCTCACCCCGTCAACGGCTGTCCAGTGCTGCTCCTCAACACCTTTTAAGCAGTTCTTTTGGGAAGTCTTTAAACTTTTAATTACAGTGCTTCCTAGTCACTCCTGAATGAGGACGACTGGGGCGGGAGAGGTAATATTTGATTTGTCCTGGATACTGGTTCCCGGAGCAGAAGACAACAGAACCTCATCGCCTTTTATTTTAAATGCTTCAGAACGATCACGGCAAGGTGCCGAGGCATGAAAAGAAAAAAGCACACTCAGCAAAGTGTATTACCTTAGTGGCTGTATTCCAGTTTCCATCTCAAGAAATATATTAAGAACCTACTGCTTAAAGGCTTTGTGCACCTCCTCGTATTTTAAAGCAGATCATAGGCCTTGATTCCGATGTGGTCACCATGAAATAAGCCCAAGGAATGCTATCGGTTTAAGGCAGGATACATTTTTTGGTTCTCTTGTTTTATAGGTGAGAACACAGCTTTAGGGAGTAGGGAAATCCAACTTGTTACAAACAGAAGGAAAATCTGGCTTCTAAACTAGTAGCTCCTATTAAAATAAGTGGATCAGGGAGATGATTGAGGTGGTAAAGGTGCCTGTCAAGCCAGGGACTGAGTTTGGTCCCACACGGTGGAAGGAGAGAACAGGCTCCGTTAAGTTGTCCTCTGGACCTCCACACATGTATTGTGGCCCATGCACACACACACACACACACACACACACACACACACACACACACA